ACACATGACTCCCGGCGTGAGAAAAGCGGGGGGGGGGGCACCAAAATGGACATTGATGGTATTGAATTGATGAAGGTAAAGGGTTGCAGAGATGAAGCGGGGGGGAAAACAAAAGGAGAGGGGGTGTGGCGGAAAAATGACTCTTGTCCCTTTGTGCCAAACACTAGCTACGCCTCTGCGAGTGGCGTAAAAAGGAAGTGCGGACGGGTTGGTCCGCTAAGGTGTTATTTTTTTTTCTTTATATAGATGAGCGGCATTTTCGGACAACTGCATGAGAGTTTGTCCGTGAATGGGAGAGTGGCAAACACCATGACGCGCTCCTTGGCAGCATTTACTCTAGGCACGCCACTCGGCATCGGATCTATCGGCCCCAAAATTGGCGATCATTGTCATCGGGATATTATGGCAAAAACTGAGAACGCCGATGGCTCTGTGGCGGAAGAGAGGTCTGCTATGCCGTCATTTTTATCGGAAAGTAGTGCTGAAAGCGAGGCCGCTTTTTACTCTTGAGCGGAAAGAGTGGGTCTGAGGAACACCTCCCCAATTTATTTTTCTATTTAATAATTAGAAGTATACATGTATTGAGTGTTTCTATGAGACTATGTGATCGGGGGAAAGACATTTTAAAGCGTCTGGAAGAGGCATTATTGAGCTCAGTAACAAAAATGCACTGAATTTACGATTTTTGTGCCGAGCCCCAGAAATATCATTTAGCTCAAGCCCAGATTCAACCCCGTACTGTCCTTTTGATTGGCGGGAGGGAAGGGGGTGGGGCAGAATTTGAATGTGTCAAAAACTCGGGGTCTGGGGGTCCCCATGGGAACATTTTTGATTAATTCAAATTGCAGGGATGCATTGAGACGCATACTTAAAGTTGATTGAAAGGTCTATGTGCAAGCTACAATAACTTTCTTCAGATACATTACACATTGCCTTTTCAATGTACTTAAAAATATTGTTTTTCCTAATCCACAGAATTTATTTTTAAATTAACAATTTAGAAAAAAAAATTTTCAACTAAGACTAGTACCAAAAATGGAATTGGCATGATGAACGAAATGCTAGTTTACAAAATGTTTTTGGTTTTTCTTGAGCGTTCTGTTATGTTTTTTATCTCAAACAAAAATAAATGTTTTTAAAATGCGCACAGATAGGTGGGGCAGATAATTTATTATTCTAATATAAAAAGATAACATCATTTAGAACTTTAATAAACATAAGCTAAGTTTTAAAAAACTCTGTTCTTCGGGAAACTGTGCTAAAAAAAGTAGCGCATTGAAAGAAAACTCGCTTTAATAATAAATGGTGAAAACTGCGCTTCTTCTAAGCGCCCGTTCAATTCTTAAATACTTTTTTTTTTTTAATTATCATTTTTTTTTAAAGTTTTATTTTATTTAGCTCAACGAGTCCATTCAAAATTATTCTTACAACAAAATTTTTAAAGCATGTGTCATCATACGCTTGATAAGTAACTTTAAAACCCTACTTTACAAAAACCATGTTTTTATGATGAAATATATTTGAAAATAGATTGCACATGTTTGATACTATATGCAAGAACTATATAAAAATTGTAAACCTTTATATTGATGTAAGGGTAGGTTTAATACGATGTTATTAACGTCTTTAGACTTGGGAAATTGCAAAAAATTGTTGTTTTTTTTAAAAACGATACATGCGAACAACTGGAAGTAAGCTTTGGCTTATGATGAGGAGCGGGGCGATTTATTTCAGAACAGTAAGATATTTATAATCGAATAGTGTAAACCTCTAAAAATGTTAGTCTTAAATATATTGAGCACAGCGATATTTCATCGGGTACGTTCAAATTTTTGCAAGACATAGTAGCTTGCCCGTGGTGGCCGCCTACTTGTACCAATATGGGTTGGTTGGAAAATTATGTTTCTTGTTTCTTAACTCGATTACAGTAGGTTAATTAGGGTTAATCAAAAGAGATCCAATAATATTGTCTTAAAAATACAATTTAGACTTTTACTCTATATAATTCTCAATTCACGGTGACGTCATGCGATCCATGTTTACTTAGCAAAACCATGACAACCACAAATGATATCAAAAGCGGAAATGACATCCACGAAACCATGATGCTCTTTCCTCTCCGAAAATATCATTATTTTTTTTTTCTTTCGTGATCTTACCCCATAAGTTCCACTAATTGTAATTGTTTAAAGGCACCATTACCTAATCTTTTAATTTTTTTATTTTTTTTTAAAATTAAAATGACAATTTAGAAGCTTTAGAAAAAAATAAAAAAATATGTTTCGTTTTATTGTTGTACACATTTTTCTCCTGACAGGCACTAAGTTGTGCGTCCCCCCCCCCCCCCCCCCCCCCCCCCCCCCCCATTTTTTTAAAAATAAAATGAAAATTTTAAAACTTTAAAAAAAAAAAAAAAAAAATGTTTCGTTTTATTTTTGTTCACATTTTTCCCCCGACACGCACCAAGTTTTGCGCCCCCCCCCCCCCCCCCCCCGCCTTACCCCATAGATGCCTGAGAGAAACACTCCTGGTAATGGCTGCCATAACAAAATTTAATACGCGCCATCTGCGGTCCTGTCAAACACATGTTGCCAAGTTCGTTAGCTCGGTGGCTCGTCTTTTGTTATTTATATTTAGTTGAGTTTTGAGGTCAATGTGCAACTATCGCAGCCGTACTCTGAGTCCTCGCGTTTTATGACGTTAGTAAAAAAAAAAGGGGGTGGGGGAGAGAAACTACTTCCCACGACCCATCATTGTGCTGTAAACCAGGTGTGTGAGCAGACCTGATGGCCGTGATGGAGTGTTGGTAGAGTCTAGATACTGTCTTGAATTCTCTGTTTATGGATATGTGGATGGTGTTAGACCTATCCATAGTTTGTCACTCAAATTGATCAAACGCTAAGGATGATTTGATTTGTTCGTTTCTAAACACTTCTTTTTTAAATTTGTATTTTGTGTGTGACGATTATACACAATTTATTATCCGTGGATAATTTGAAATATGGATAGTTTATATTGGATATATATCCTTGCGTGTGCTTGGTGGTGAAATAATAAGAAACTTGACACGGGATCTATGGACATCTGTACAGAGTCAATGGATTGTGACCGTGGCGGTAATGCACATGGATTTTTATCGTTTCGGTAATGCACATGGATTGTTATAGTTTCGGTAATGCGCATTGACTGTTATCGTGTCATTAATGCACATGGATTGTTATCGTGTCATTAATGCACATGGATTGTTATCGTTTCAGTAATTCACCCTTGACGCTGGCTTCAACAATTAACATTTTACATCCATGAGTTAAAGCTATTTATAGTTTGTTTATGTGCGTTTCATCTTCTGAATGACGACACGGTAACCGGCCGACCACATCTGATAGTTGCTAATGTTACAGAATTGAATTTTGGTCATGATAATATTGACACTAGGTAAAAGAAGACAAAACGACTCCAGCCCCCCAGCTCCCCCCTCCCCCCCCACCCATTCCCCCAAATACAATTAGACATCAATAACATATGTCTCGACTCCGTTAAAAACAAAGAGCAGATCATTTCAAAGTCTTTACCAATTACAGTTGTTTGCTATACCTCTATGACCATCACCCCGATATGAAACTTAACTAACTATATTTAAAAAAAAACAAAACAACAACAACAACAAAAACAATAAATTTAGAAGAACGTTTCAGTCAGCCATTAGCCGTTGTCATTCATGTTTGTTCCAAGACTTTGTATTGATGCAAACGTAAACACCCTGCCTGTACATATTTAAATAACAACCTTCAGATGAAAGACGCACTCAATTATTTGTTTAAATTATTTTCTTCTGTCGTCAGGGAGAAGAAGACCCTAGAAATTTGGATGATCCTAATCGCGCCCCACCCACCACCCGCCCCAACGACGACCACCCCGAGGGCGTCACAAGCAGCAGCAAGCTTCTCGAGAACGTCGAGCAGAGAGTGCCACAGTCTGAGCAAGAGACACGCCTACTAGGCCCAGAGGAGGCGGAGCCGCTGACATCCTCCGAGCTTCAACCCATCAGCTCGGAGCTGCCATGCGTGTCGTCGCTGGAGACCAACTTTGAGCACGACACTCCCCGACGGCGTCGGCCCAGCCGGCCTCTGTCTGACCCGGCGCAGGGCAGGCATTCCAGGCAGCGCGGGCATTTCCTCGAAGACACCGACGTCGGAAAGGGAAAAGATGGTGCGGCCAGACAGCACGACCTGCCTGGATCGCTGTCCGCGTACGAATCGGAAAAGCATGTCACGTACGTGAGGTCCTCCTCACATGATGAGAAAAGAACCAAAGAGGTAGCCACGCGGTCAGCTGAACACGAAGAGACCTTAAGAGAACTAGCTCTTCACCCTCGCCTTCAATCCTCCGAGCAACGACTTCAGCTACACCCAGATCTGCCCCATGAGCCTCGGTTGCACTTGACCCAGCAGCAACAATACCAGCAGCAATACCATCCCCATCCTCGACTGTTGCAAGAGAAGCAACAGCAGTTTCACCAGCAGCTTCATCACCAACAGCATTTCCAAAAGCGGCATCAGCACAGTTTTTCTGAGCCCATCCAGTTCCAACTGGCCGAACAGCAGGTCTACCGGCCTTTTCCGTATCAAACTCAGCAGCAGCAACTGGCGCAATATCAACTGCAACAGCAGCAACAGCAAAATCTATACCAGCAACAGCTCCACCACCAACAGCAACAGGCTTTGTTTCAACAACAGCAACAGCGACTCCTGCAGCAGAAACGAGGTCATGACACGCCCCTCATACCGACAACCCCAGAAAGAGGCCACCCACAGCAAAATCGGGCATATGAAAGCAGGAGGGCAGCGCCACCACCCAGCTTCACGGTTCTCACCTCCACAACTTCAGCGACAGCCCTCATTCCAAACAGCAGCAACACCCACGTCTATGCAAACGTACGTGCTACCAACGGTGCTGGAAATGGCCTGGGTCCCGTTGGCCTTGAGATGGGTATAAAGAGCATGGAGGTGGAGGACGAAAGCTTTGTTGTAGAGACTGTAGAGATCATCAAACGTCCGGGTCAGACCTTGGGATTCTACATCCGAGAGGGAAATGGCTTCGACCGCCCGGACGGCGTCTTCATTTCCCGCATCCAGATGGGCACCGTCGCCCAGAGCAACGGACTGCTGCACGTGGGGGACGAGATCGTCACCGTCAATAACGTCAAGGTTGGAAACATGTCTTTGGACGACGTGGTCATTCTCATGTCCATCCCCAAGAAACTCGTGCTCACGATACGAACGAGGAGAAACAGCAGCAAGAACAAATCCTGTCCTTCCCTGCCCATGGCGGAGAAGCCGGACCCACCCATTGTCGTTCTCAAGAAGGGAAGGTCCTCGTCGGCGTCGGCCCTGGAGATGACGGAAAAATGTCCGGACATGTACGAGCCGGGTCAGTCGTATGCCCAGTACCCATTTCAAACAGCTGATTACCTCCCCAGGCGAGAGCTTGGCCAGGATAGGCACTCCCTGTCCGGCTCTCGGTACACCAGTATTTTTATCACGCCTCAGAGAGCAGAGGCGAAGCTCATCGCTGACGATGGTGTCGAAAGCAGTAACTCAAGCGATGGCGGATCCTTACCGCGCAGCATTGACTCGAAAGACCGTGCGTATATTGGACAGGAAGTGGTGGATTCGCCACACACTGGATACATGAGTGTGACCAATCCGATATACGACCATTTCCCGAGCATGTCGGAGAGGGACTACAAGCACCACCTTCTGCCCGAGAGCATGACCAGGAAAACGACATTGCCGAAATCTCCCTCGAAGCAGAGTCCGCTCGGAGCCTCGTCTCACTTGCACGGGTATCGGGGCAGGTCGGGTGCGGATGCGAGTCCGGCGTACTCCGAGCCCCCTTACATGAACGTCGGTGCTTTGCGGGAGGGCATCTTGCAGCAGGCGCAGCAGAACTATCCGCTCCACTTTACATCTCCTCACTTCCACAGCCCGCACCACCAGCAGCATTTCACCGGCCATTACTCCTCGTATCAACCCCTGCCGCAAAATCAGGGCTACCCACTTCACACATCGCCACAGGGGCCGCCGTCCTACCCCATCACATCTCCCCAATACCGGGGAGGGATGGCGGTGTCCCAGGAAGAGAAGCGGCGCCAGGAGAGACTTCGGTCCCTGCTCAGCTCCAAGTCGCGTTACGGAAGACTGCTACGGAGCCGTTCTCCGGAATGCTACAATTCCGACTCCGAGCTCATCTTCACCCACCAGCAACAAGCGGACGGACGTGGGTTTGCGTCGGATTACGAGAGCTACGGCGGAGCGTTCAGCGATGACGAGCCGGTGTACTCGATCCCACGGATACCTTCCAGCTCGTCCTCGGAGCTGGAGAAGCTGCTCAAAAAGTTCACTACGCTGTCCCAGGAGTTGCAGCAAGAGCAGAGCAAACTCCAGAGACAGCTGAGCACCAGGGACAAGGTCACAAGTGAGTAGACACCTTCTTGACACATAATTATCACAACTGTTTGTAGTTTAAACCAAAAACAAAACAAAAAAATAAATGTTTATTGAAACCTCTCTAGTTGTATCCATGATAATAATTGAAGGACTGCGTTCAGCCTGTGTGAATAAAATAGTAGAACAAGGTCTGTGGAAGCTTGAAATAGAAAGACAGGAAAATAAAAGTCGACCGTTTCGGCTAAGAGCCTTCCTAAGCAGACGGAACAATTAAAGAAACAGCTAGAAATAGAAAGTAGTTCAAAAACGTTTTCACCATTTATGTTATTTACTGAAGTTGTGTTTTCCATTTAGCAGCTCATCTTGGGGCTTATTTTCACCCTCGGGTAGAGTTTGGATCGGCAGTCTTTCAGCTGTCTTTAATAAGTTTTATCTTAACGCTTGATACACGTCAACAAGTATAGACACAGAACTATTTATATTTTTAGTCAAGACTTAGGAGCTATATCTCCTCTATCACTAATATTATTTGTAGAGACCAAAATTAACATATAATGTAGTGTATTTGTCAGGATGCTAATCAATGTAGACTTAAAAATACAATCTGTAAATATTTAAAATAGTAGCTAGACAATAATTTGGTTTGTCTACTTAAGTTAAACATGTGATTTTAAGAACTAACTTATTTTGGAGCCGTCCATTGAGTACGTCACCATCCATAGAGTACCTTAACGTCCATAGAGTACGTCACCGTCCATAGAGTATCTCACCCTCTATAGAGTAACTCACAGTCCATAGAGTACCTCAAGGTCCATAGAGTACCTCACCGTCCATAGAGTACCTCACCGTCCATAGAGTACCTCACTGTCCATAGAGTACCTCACCGTCCATAGAGTACCTCACCGTCCATAGAGTACCTCACCGTCCATAGAGTACCTCACCGTCCATAGAGTACCTCACAGTCGGTAGAGTACCTCAACGTCCGTAGAGTACCTCACCGTCCATAGAGTACCTCACCGTCCATAGAGTACCTCACCGTCCATAGAGTACCTCACCGTCCATAGAGTACCTCACCGTCCATAGAGTACCTCACCGTCCATAGAGTACCTCACAGTCCGTAGAGTACCTCAACGTCCATAGAGTACCTCACCATCCATAGAGTACCTCACCGTCCAAAGAGTACCTCACCGTCCATAGAGTACCTCACCTTCCATAGAGTACCTCACTGTCCATAGAGTACCTCACTGTCCATAGAGTACCTCACCGTCCATAGAGTACTTCATAGTACATAGTTTACGTCACTGTCCATAGAGTACCTCGCCGTCCATAGAGTACCTCACCGTCCATAGAGTACCTCAGTGTCCATAGAGTACCTCATTGTCCATAGATTACCACACCGGTACCTCACAGTCCATAGAGTACCTCACCGTCAATAGAGTACCTCACCGTCCATAGAGTACCTCACTGTCCATAGAGTACCCCACCGTCCTTAGAGTACCTCACCGTCCATAGAGTACCTCACCGTCCATAGAGTACCTCAACGTCCGTAGAGTACCTCAACGTCCGTAGAGTACCTCACCGTCCATAGAGTACCTCACCGTCCATAGAGTACCTCACCGTCCATAGAGTACCTCACTGTCCATAGAGTACCTCACCGTCCATAGAGTACCTCACCGTCCATAGAGTACCTCACCTTCCATAGAGTACCTCACAGTCCGTAGAGTACCTCAACGTCCATAGAGTACCTCACCATCCATAGAGTACCTCACCGTCCAAAGAGTACCTCACCGTCCATAGAGTACCTCACCGTCCATAGAGTACCTCACCTTCCATAGAGTACCTCACTGTCCATAGAGTACCTCACTGTCCATAAAGTACCTCACCGTCCATAGAGTACTTCATAGTACATAGTTTACGTCACTGTCCATAGAGTACCTCGCCATCCATAGAGTACCTCACCGTCCATAGAGTACCTCAGTGTCCATAGAGTACCTCATTGTCCATAGATTACCACACCGGCACCTCACTGTCCATAGAGTACCTCACCGTCAATAGAGTACCTCACTGTCCATAGAGTACCTCACCGTCCATAGAGTACCTCACCGTCCATAGAGTAGGTCACCGTCCATAGAGTACTTCATAGTACATAGAGTACGTCACTGTCCATAGAGTACCTTACTGTCCATAGAGTACCTCACTGTCCATAGAGCACATCACAGTCCATAGAGTACCTCACTGGTACCTCACTGTCCATAGTGTACCTCACCGTCAATAGAGTACCTCACTGTCCATAGAGTACCTCACCGTCCATAGAGTACTTCATAGTGCATAGAGTACGTCACTGTCCATAGAGTTCCTCACCGTCCATAGAGTACGTCACTGTCCATAGAGTACGTCACTGTCCATAGAGTTCCTCACCGTCCATAGAGTACGTCACTGTCCATAGAGTACCTCACCTTCCATAGAGTACCTCACTGTCCATAGTGTACCTCACCGTGCATTAAATACTTCACTCTCTTTGGGACAATTTAAACGCCCTCCGTCCTCCTGCCATAATATGTCACACATCTCAGACCCTACACTCCTGTCACAATCTGACACAGATTTGAGATCCTCCACTCCTGTCACAATCTGACACAGATTTGAGATCCTCCACTCCTGTCACAATCTGACAGAGATTTCAGATCCTTCACCTCTGTCACAATCTGACACAGATCTCAGGCCCTCCACCCCTGTCAGAATCTGATACAGATTTGAGATCCTCCAACCCTGTCACAATCTGACACAGACCTCAGACCCTACACCTCTGTCACAATCGCACACAGACCTCAGACCCTACACCTCTGTCACAATCTGACACAGACCTCAGACCCTACACCCCTATCACAATCTGACACAGACCTCAGACCCTTCACCCCTGTCACAATCTGACACAGACCTCAGACCCTTCACCTCTGACACAGACCTCAGAACCCGCCCCCCCCTCCCCCCAAAAAACCAATATGCCCGTTTTTTTTGTTTTTTTTTAGCCAGCCTTAACATTGAAACGTACTTCTAATTAGAAGCTTCTCACACACTACTAAATCAATTTCACTTTTCCATTCTAGGACTGGGTGGCTTAATTTTAATTTTAAAAAAAATCATTTATAGCTCACTTGCACTTCCTAGAATGATATCAAAATTAAAAGGAAAAAAAAAAAAGAAACTATGACATGGGGATCAGCTGTTTCCAGGACTTTACACAAGGTTTAAATCTGAGATATTCTTTATCAGTCTGGGGATGTTTGCTATCGTCTGCCTAGTTTACCCCCGTGAGAGAGGGGAGGGGGCCTGGTAGCTGAAACCGCCGCTATAAAATTATCAACAAACCACATAAAAATAAATGATCCGCACCACGTGAGGCATTAGGTGCACACGTCAACACCAGGTGAGGCATTAAGTGCACACGTCAACACCAGGTGAGGCATTAAGTGCACACGTCAACACCAGGTGAGGCATTAAGTGCACACGTCAACACCAGGTGAGGCATTAAGTGCACACGTCAGCACCAGGTGAGGCATTAAGTGCACACGTCAACACCAGGTGAGGCATTAAGTGCACACGTCAACACCAGGTGAGGCATTAAGTGCACACGTCAGCACCAGGTGAGGCATTAAGTGCGCACGTCAACACCAGGTGAGGCATTAAGTGCACACGTCAGCACCAGGTGAGGCATCAAGTGCACACGTCAACACCAGGTGAGGCATCAAGTGCACACGTCAACACCAGGTGAGGCATCAAGTGCACACGTCAGCACCAGGTGAGGCATTAAGTGCACACGTCAACACCAG